GATTAATGGTTTACATGTTGTCCACTAGGGGGCACTGCTGTGCATTCTTTAACAGATGCTCACTGGTATTTGTAGTAGAAGTAATGGCAGAGTGGAGGCATGATTGAGCAGAACATTGAATGAATCAGGGGTCCGGATTGATTTGATGACAAGATTAATGCAGAATTAACTTTCTGTGATTCTGATTGTTGATAAAATCTTTCAGTTTAAACCTCAATGAATGAATGAATCTGCTGAGATCAATTGGTCAGGATGTGATGCTAGAAAAGTGGAGGACATTACGCTAAACGTTTGGAACAGGATAGAAGTAGACGTACTAGCAGTTAGCATGCTAGCAGTTAGCATGCTAGACGGGAAAGGGTTTGAGTTAATGGCTTTATGAGAAAAGTTTTACCATTCCTATAAGAGAAACCGGAGCCACCTGTTTAAAAGCTCTGCTAACGGCGCACCATCTCTCCCAGCTGACTGCTGGATCAAAATAAAGCTAGAAAGCTTTATCAAACGTAGCATCCAGGTCATTGAATAGTAGTAAAAATCTATAGTAGACTGTTTCAGTTGTAGTTTTTCTTCAGGTTGTAAAGATGGATGGTTTGCTTTAAAATTCCTCCCATAGTTTGTCAGCATTGGGATATTGCTGCTGATGTAGCTCTGCTGACAGTGAGCAGCTCTGGTTTCTGCTAAGGTTGAAAGTGTGGAAAGCTTTATGTCAAAACCTGAAGTTTTTCCAGACATGGACGTTTCTAAATATGTGTACTTTTACGTTCTGATGTCCTCGTGAAACGTCATCAGCTTCAGTGCTAATACTGTTTCAATTCACAAGATCAGGATGATCGAGAACGGACAAAGTCGTCGACTCTTGTTCTGGCCCCTCCCTCTTTACCCAGCATGCATCAGAGCAGACCTGTCCGTTCTCCAGGTTGACAGCTGTCCCAGCATGCACTTCTGCAGCAGCAGCTTCCAGATTAGCGCTCACAGAGCTGTTTTAAGTTAAAAGTTCTTTTTTCTGTTGCTGTTTTTCTATAAAAGTAGAACATTGTACTTTTAAACACTATATTGCCCATCTATTATTATTTTTTTAGTGCGTCATTCAAAAAAAAAGTTTCGATGTTGAGAGGATCGCTGCAACCAGCGGGCCTCCTTGGCAAACCGCAGCCAGCACTAACGTTAGCCGCGCACCTCGCTCTTCTAGCGGGTCAAACTTCACGAGTTGTTTTCTGCAATTTCGGTCATGAAAACAAAACAAGCCGGCCTCCTGTCTGCGGTCAGCTACAATATGGGAGAGGTGCAGCGGAGCGTCTGTGGAGGGGGCGGGACGTCTGGAGCCGAGGTATTTTCTGCAGTATTTTTTTAAAGCAACTTTCCTACTTCTGTTATTTGCTGTTGTTTCTAAAAAAAATGCATAACAATATCACAGATTTCATTGATTTATCTCAAACTTGAAACTTTGTTTAGCCTGTAAGGTGTAAAAAAAATAAAAATAAAAAAATTAATTGATTAATCGTATCGTGGTGTATTCTTGAGTATCGAAAATAATCGAATCGTTGGGTCAGGAAATCGATACTGAATCGAATCGCCATGATGGATGTGATTTACACCCCTACTAAATATAGCGACAAGGTCGCTGAGTTGGCAACACGGCACGGGTGAACCGGGCAGCCGGGGCGGCATTTTTATAACGGAGGGCGGGACGCGCGCTTCAAACAGATGTGGAATGATCTGATAAACTGACAGATCTTTTTCTTGTTGTTGTTTCCTCTTTCTGT